GCAGTAGCACCCATACCCTATCCACCCTGCTCGATGCAACAGATAGGGTGCCGTTTATTATCCTCTGCGACGGCCAGAGCATCAAGAAATTGTTTTAGGAAAGGTTCATTGTATTGTGTGGGCAGAGTACTGTCAGATTGCCCAGACCTAGACAGGAGAAAGATTAGGGTTCTCAACCAAAGCCTTTGGTTCAAAAACTTTACCGCAAACCAGCTGGTTTGGCGGTGGGTTACAAGGAGTCCGTTTTAAGGAATAATGAGGCACCCTCATTCCAACCCCCACCCCGGAGGACCAGGAGGCTGAGTTTGTCTGGCTTCTAACCATTGACCAATCTGGTATGAGTGGCTCTGAAGGTGTAAAAAAGCACGACCCAACAGAGCTCAATGGATCTCTGAGGCACGCAAACCATTGCACCAAGGTCCAGCCTCATTGTGATGGCTACGGTGACAAATAAAGCGGCATGCGATAAGTCGGTCGACATACTGAGTGATTACAGCAAGTTTATACGCATTGATCGGCCAGAGAGCCTGTCAGAGGTTGAAGCTCGCATTAAGCAACACCTAGAATTACTTCTTTTACATCGTGTCATTGACCATGAGACCTACAAGACTTTGAAGCCGTACGGTTCATCAACGCCGCAGCTGTACGGATTTCCAAAGACCCATAAGAAAGGGATGCCGCTAAGAGCAATTTTATCAATGGTGAACTCCCCACAGCACAAACTGGTGCGTTGGCTAGTGCGAATCTTAGTCTCACTTAGGCAGCATTACAATACACACGGTCTTAAGGATTCTTACGCAATCATTGAGGACCGCGATCACATCAACGTTGCCGACAAAAGCATGTGTTCTGTGGACGTCCAATCGTTGTTCACTAACGTTCCATTGCTCGAAACAGTTGATTACCTATGTCATCTGATTGAGGTCGAAAAAGTCCGTGTACAAATACCGACAGATCTACTCAGGCAGTCCCTGTTGTTGTGCACGGAAAACGTCGGATTTCGTTTCCGACAGACCTCTTATTGCCAAATCGATGGAGTGGCTATGGGCAGTGCTCTTTGGCTTGTACTAGCCGACGTTTTCATTATAATGCTTGAAAGAAAACTGAGCGGGGAGATTTCGCAATTACCTTTCTACAAGCTGTGTGTTGATGACACACTCATGTTTGGTTCCTCAAGAACGCAGATAGAATGCCTGGCCAGACAGCTGAACAGCGTCCATATCAATTTAAAAGTTACTCATGAATTCGAGTCAAATAATCGCCTTCCGTTTCTGAACATTCTCATCAGTCGAAGGGATACCGGGCTCGTTAGGCGGTCTGTATACCGAAAGCCGACATGGTCTGGGCAATACATGCACTTTACGAGCTTCACACCAATGGTAAAGACTTTGTTTTCTCGTGCCAGACGAATTTGTTCAACTGATTGTCTGGCTGAGAAGATGGAGACTATTACCAGAAGACTTATGTAAAATGATTACCCGAAACGTTTCATCGAGAAGCACAGTCAGGTAAGACAGCCGAAAGAAATGGTGTTGACAGCACCTAAGAAAAAGGTTTACATTGAACTTTCACTCAAGGGCAATGCCACCACAATGAGGACAGCCAAGCGTTTATACTCTGCCATCCAGAGAACATACTACGCCGCTGACGTTGTTGGAATCAGCAGAATCCAGAAGCTGTCGTTACTTTCAGTCAAGGAAGAGGAACCCATCAGTGACAAATCCCATTGCGTTTACCAATATGTATGTGACTGCGGAGTCAGTTACATAGGCAAGACGGAGGGGTTTTGAATTCCAGAGTGAAGGAATACCTGCCCAACTGGGTTCAAGGGGAGGTCAACCAACCCGCCTCTAGTGCGCCGAGTTCACGTAAGCCACCAGCGTCATCAAGAGGCAGTCACATTTGGGAGTCCCATCATCGGGTTAACCGTCTCGGAGTTCTGGATTCTATGCGGCACCCTAGTTCGCTGTTCTTGCGATTCGCCGAGGCCGTGGCGATAACCCGAATGACACCGGCCCTATGTGTGTAAAAACAAATGGTTGTAACTCTTCGGCTGCCGTGGTCTTAGGGCTACAGCCGCCGTTCACCCTGGTGTACGTGACTGGTCAGATGCCACTTTTTGATTATTATTTTGATTAGTCTGGTGGTACCCATTGAGTACATTGATTATTTCCTCTTATCATAATGGTATTGACGTTATGATACGAAATGCGCGCATCTACAATGTTCGTCTTCTTTCTGTGCTATTCAAATAGCCTAAGGGCCAATGTAGCGATGAGTAACGGCGAAAGCATAACCGGCGGCCGAAGTGCTCAAAAAACCGTACAAATGCGAGGTGGTAGATCATCATTGTCATCAACAGTAGTACATCAACCACTTAGACTGATGCTTCGCTGCCGTACAACCACGGTGACCTATGGAATGAAGAACAATAAGAGGGAGAGTATTGGAACCTGGCATAAAACCTTAATGCCCTAAACAAACACTCAGGGTCAGGGCGCCTACACCTTTCTAACAACAAACCATCACAGACAGCTAATTACCGTGCAAAGATAAGGCGTATAAGCGAGACAGCTTCCTTGCAGCTTCCACTGCCCCGCGTCATAATCATAACACCGCAGATAACTCAGCACCACACTTTAAACAAACAGTCGGACTAAGAGACAGCTGCAGACACATTATGTGCTGTAACGTCTCAAGCCGAGTACAAGGCGATCACGTGGATTCCATCATGAAAGGCGAGACGGGGCGACGGCACCGAGTTTGGTCACCAGTGAGTTCATTTCCTGCTGCCAAGAGGAAACGAAGTGAAGCGCATCACGTTTAAACAGTCATCAAACACCAGATAAGGTGACAAAATGTAGGTTGGTAACTGAATGGCTCGTCAGTAAGTCGAGTCAAATCAAAAATTTATTTGATGCAGCCGGGAAGGGGGAATAATCCAGCTACGACACTACTTCGGGAGGGATGAAAGAGGGATGTGTGTTACCCTTCCAAGCAATGAAGTAAGCAATCAGTTAGGGAAAATTGCATATTAGTATCTTGCAATGATGCGTCGATACCAAGGTGATCGGAGGTGACAAGGTCAGAGTGTGCTAAGCAAAGTGCAAAGTCCATCGGTTTGAGAAACAACGGCAAACAATTAAAGCGATCCAAACTCCAGCGCTACGCGTGCTTCCAAAATGAGGGGGACAAGGCTAACATGCAGAAATGCGACTTACCTTGATAAGAGGCCAATCAAGGGACGGTACTGTGAGCTGGCTCAAGCAACTATTTATTTTAATGGAGTAGTGTTGTGGTAATTTTTGCCAACAGCACAACTAATTATCTGGTCATATTTGTCACCGTTCCCCCTTGTGGTCCAGCAATACGAACCGGTGCTTACGAAAGAGTTTTGGGCCCTCGCCATTTCGATGAGACTGGACTGTAACATGGTGAGATGGTTTGTGTGCCTCAACGACCCACTGAGTATTGATTTTCGCACCTTCAGAGCCATTCAGACGAGGCTGGTGTATGATTAGGGACCAGATAAGCTTAGTCTCTTGGCCCTCCAGGTTGGAGTAAGGGTGGCACCTTACTTATTAAAATGTGCTCTGCATAGCCCAGTACTAGCTTGCAATCAGGTTTTGGAACCAAAGGCTTTGGCTGAGAATCCTAAACGTTCTCCTGTCTAGACCTGGTTAACCTGACAGTATCCTGCCCACGCAGTAGTATGAACACTCATTCATTCATAATATATGTTAGATAGAGATGGACCTCAGTTATTGTGCCGCAACACAATGAATACACTTCATTGATGCTCTGGCCGTCGCAGGGATAATCGACGGTGCCCTGTCTGCTACATAGATCAGGGGGATATGAGTGAGGATGCTATAACTCAGATATTGCAGCCTTCGCACTCCCTTTCTTGCGCTTTTTCATCCTTATCGTCCCCTTCCAACTTCGCTTTTACTCCCTTTGTTTTAATATTCACCCAATTCTTGGCCCTCCTGCATCTTGCTGTGATAAGCGATTGTTTTTACTTTCAATACACGTAATAGAAGGGCGTCGCTCCGGTCCAGTTGGCAAGCCCATGTGCAGCCAAACGGACGCCAGTTTATCCATCCCTATTTGAAGCCCTAGATCCTCGCTAAGATTGGTATGCCTTAAGGTGCGCACTTTGTCGCAGGTAGCACTTGCCCGAACACTATTTCGACCCCAATCGCGTTTGTATTGTGAATATTTGGCCCTCCCTCTATCCCCACCACGTTCTCACATGTAACGCTTAGTATGACACTAGGCATCTCTTTACGTTTTTGGTTTCATTTGTATTTTGTAATGTGCTGTGTCTCGGTTTTTCTTTGTTATACGTTAGCTGAAGTGTGTTTATTACCTTCAGCTAATGTGTGTTGATGATTATATGGGCGCCAGACCGCGCGCGACCACCACCTCTCGCGGACTGCGAAGCGTCGGTAGGCCCAGAAAGGACAAAAAAGTTGCCGACTGCAATACAGGATTTATGACGATAGCCAGACCAAGTGTAACCGATGCTTTGCAAAGGCACCAAATTGATACAGCAGCTTACCGAGGTCGAATCGCAACACAATGGCTTGAGGGCGAGCAAAAAAGGAGTATATAGTAAAACACTGAGCTAAACGAAACGGGTGCCTGCAACAGACAGACGATTAAAGTAGAAGCAAAGTGACACGTGTGGCAATAAATACAAGGACTAGTAAACTGGGCTAACCAAAGACGATCTCAGTGTTGACGAGAATGAGGACAAAGAAGCCATCCGTATTAGAAAAGTACTCCAGTTAGTTTCCTGCTTATGAAATCGATGTGACTGCCCTCAGCGAGTTATGTCGCCTTGTGGAATGAGAGTAACTGTCGCATGAGCGTGATATCATGGGGTTAGGAAGTGAAAGAAAACGAAAGATGTAAGTGCCTACGATTAGTGGTGTGCGTTTATCAAATTGCAGTGAAGAAGGTAGTAGCGGACAAGGTTTAAAAATGAAACTAACTTTTCCGTCACTTCTTTATCCGGGAACTCTGCTGGAAGCTTCGAAATCCAGTTACGCAGGCGTCGGAATAGACGAGACTCAGTACAGCGAGGCCCATTGGATTGGAGCGGCTGAACAGATACATCCTCCGAGGGAAGTGAATGAAAACGAGCCAATTCTGAGGCCATCATTCTGAAGACAGAGTGAGAAATCAATGGAATTACTGTGTACGGTTAAAGGGGCGCGTAAGCTTTGATTGGAAATTGAACACTGGAACTGCGTAAGTGTCTGCCAGTCTTGCTATGGTTTGGTACCACACCATTCCAATAGAGAAGAAGCACAGTCCCGGTTGATTAACGAGAAACTTTGATGGCAACGTATGCGCTCGTATCATATACACTCTATCCGAAGATTGTATATATTACGGAAAAATACCGTTACGAAGAAAGAGAGTCATCAATCTCAACAGCAGCCTGCATCAATGGGTAGGAAAAATATCCATCTCACATTACCTTAAGTCAGCCCTGAAGTAGAAAGCAGGTTTCACGACTACAAACGTAATCTGATGGAGAGTGTCCAGCTTTAGTTTAGTGACATCAAATAGTCTGATCGCGTTGAAATGTTAGTGAAAGAAATAAAAAACCAGCAAATATCCCACGGTACAAAATCGTGAAGATAACTACTAATCCACAGGGTACCTATTTTTAAGGGCACAAAATAATGATTAAATGGGGAACACCGTTCTCAGCATGAGCCGAGTACAGGCTTCAAACTAGTGCGTCAATGAACTAAGCGTGCGTGTGAGCAGGTTAGTGTGAGAAAAATCACTTTAATTATGGTAATCAAAGAGAAGAGTAATTTTTAACTAACCTTGCGTATTTCTCCATGGACAAATAATGCAATGGAATAGTGAAGCCAGTCACATAGGAGTAAGAGATGCCGTTATTCAATAACGCGTAGATTACCGGGGTTCCACGAAATTTGGACAAGTTCAACATACAAGAAAGCTCTAAAGCTCGGTCTACTAGACAATTCGCAGTTTGGTTGTAGATACGAATGAGTAAGCGTGGAAAGTCGGGACTCTCTATTGCGAAACGCACCAGAAGCAACTGGTTCGAAAGTCCACCATCTAACACCTGTTCAGCAGGGAAGAAAAAGCAATTGGATGTGGTGGGTGACTCACTTCGATTGAGAAAGGCTGATGACTGATGCCTGGAAAAAGGTGTCTTAAGAGTTGACGGACCGCCCCCTCGTCTTGGGTCCCATCGAAAGTTATATTTAGATGCGGAATTGAAGTGGAGGAAGGCATCATTCAGCTCTAGTTTAACAGCTACAAACGCAATGTGAAATACTTGAGAGTTGGAGTTAACTAGGTGGTGAGCTGCAACATCCAAATGAAATAATGCAAATTTTGTGATGACAACCCCAGGAGACATCATGAAACAACGGCACAGATGAAGGTAAATTGTATCAATTTGTGCAGGCCGCAAACAGGAAGGCACATGAAAAAGTTGTTTCTAGCACGTATTAATAAAAGGTGAGAAAATAGTAGCGAAAATACATGGTGGCTGTGTCGGGAACACAAAGGAAATCGAGACGTGCCTTCGCTAAGCCAGCAGTGAAGTTTCGGATACACATAACACAAGCTGTTAAGACGAGATCCCACAATCCTCATAGATGTTAAGTCACATGGGCAATACAGATACACGTGTTTGTCACTTCGCTGAGTTGATGACCGAAAATGACGGCTAACTGTTTAAATGAACCAATAAACTGTTTTGAGTGACAGCTAGTTAGTAGTTCTCTAAATAGCAAATTAAAATCTGGGCTATCCCCGCTATCACGGCAATACCTTCAAATGGGAGCACAACGTAGACCTTTTTCCTTGGTGCTACGAACACTCAGTGGCCTAAGTTGGCTGTGCCACCAGAATGGAACACATTGGTTAGTCGTTTCCATGAGCGCTCTGGTGACAAGCTCTACTTCCCCAGTCAGACAATCAGTTCATCAGAATTGTCTTAAGTGGACACTTGTATCCAATCGATTTGAAGCTAGTAAACTTAAGTAATGACCACATCAAGTAGCCTCTCGGTATACAGACCCTTTCCTGAGTCCGACATCCATGGGGCTGATGAGGATTTCAAGCTGAAGGAGACGATCATGCAACTCGAATTTGTAAGCGACCTTTAGACTGATATGAGCTCCAACTGAAGGTTGTACCAAAGGTCCGGTTGCAGGTCATCGTCCGCATTTCCTGTTCATGGGCGATTTCAACTTAGGTCGTCTGCAGTGGGTTGAGATCGAACTTCGCGCCGGCCATTGTGAAGTCGAGACGAAGTTCACGGAGATGATATTTGAGACTGGGGCCACTCAACTCATCCATCAGGCTAAGTGCATAACCGCGTGCTCGAGTTCATTGTGCTTAGACCTGCTATTGAGTAACGTGCGCCTGGCATTCAGGTCCTAGAGTTTCTGAGAGTGAACGACTCCTAGGTGATCATGGCCAGGTTGGAGCTGCCGCTGCCAAGTTCTCGTCCACTGGAGACAGCATTTAACTACTGGAAGGCGGGTTGTAATGGACTTAGTTGAGCCGCGAGGCAGATGATTGGCCATTATCAAAGGAATCATTTGTTGAAGCCTATTAATCTAGCCTAAACGAGGGAGTAAGATCGTCGTGTGCCTGATTTGTATCCCTCAAGTATCGGAAAGTTGGACCAGTCAAACCGAAACGGTTCCACAAGGAGTATGACAAAGTGGCTTGACGACGACGTAGACTATGGAAGAAATTCGTGTTGTCTGGTTCTGCTGGACTACGATCCATTCAAGAGACAGCAGAATTTATGCAGCAGTGCGAAAACATAGAAGCGTCGAAACTTCGAAGAGCAGCTTGCAGACGCAGCATAACGGCTCCTAAGCAGCAGCTGAGACCTGCAGGCAATGTGCCAGTGCTGGGGGGCTCAGACGGACAGTCGCTAACCTCGAGTGAAGATCGTGCATTCACACCGGCTGCATAATTCGCTTCCGTGTTTGCAAGTGACCGGGTAACTGTGCCGAGTTCGACGGATATCGCCTCTACTGAACTAGACAGCCTGGATTGCAGCGTTGAAGATGGGTCCAAGCTGCCGGCCAGCCTTGACTGGAACAGGCCTGTCGGGCCTGATGGAATCCAACCACAGGCCCTGAAGCCATTAGCGGCCATCACCTCGCCTTCCGTGATTGAGCTGTTCAACTGGTCGCTGTCCATAGATTTATTACCGAGCGACTGGAAATGCTCAGTCGTAAGGCCGATACAGAAAGGCGGTGACCCAAACTAAGTGGACAACTACCTGCCAATCTGTCTGACCACTGTTTCGGCTAAGACACTTGAGAAGATCGTGAAGAAGGGTTTATTGCACATTATCGATTCGAAAAGTTTCTTGACATTCACACACCATGGTTTAGTGAAAGGACGCTCATTCATCAACAATCTGCTCCTGACGAGGCACGAATGGCTGCAAGCGTTGAGCCAGGGGAAGTCACTCGATTTCATTTACAATGACTTCAGAAAACCGTTTGGCGAGATGAACCAGGAGGTCCTTCTCCAGAGGCTGAGAGAGTGCGGTATCGGCGGCTCGCTGCACAAATAGGCCTGGAATTTCTTTGGTGGCCGAAAGTGTAGGGTCCAGGTCGACAACCATCTGACCGACTGGTATCGTCGCAAGGAGACTGGACCTTAACGTGGTGTGACGGTTTGCGTACCTCCTTGACTCATTGAGCTATAGTGGCTCCGAGACCCTTGAGAGCTACTTCGGCCAGGTTGATCAATGGTTAGAGGTCAGACAAACTCGGTCTCCCGGTTCTCCAGGTTACGAGTTTCAAATGGGATGGCGTCCATTTCTGTAAAACCAAATCATTGTCACCTTCTTGCTGCCTTGCGGACAGGCAGTTGAGCCAAAGGATTGCTTGAGGACCCTAATAGTCCTCCTGTCTAGTTCTGGGCGCACTGGCAAATATCTCAGCCCACGCACAACTATGACAATTTCCCCAAACGCTAACTACATCCTGCATCGGCCGTCGCGCAGATTATCAAGGGTCGCCTTATTTGCTGCATACAGCAGGGCGGACAAGAGAAAACAAGCCACTTCTGGCGTTTTCCTTCTTTCCTTTCCAATTGCTTCTCGTACCCCCATCCCAGTCCCCATTGCTAATCTTCCTATAATTCCCACCTTAATTGACAGCAACCGATGTGCCACCGCAGTAGAACCATCTCAGCCACCTTCCCACAACAGCAACCGGAGGCCTATCGGCAACAGTCCCTTATAAGGCCATGCTGTCGCGTTGCCCTGCCGGCGTTTAACGTTCGCACTCCAAGACAAGTAGGTCAACAGGCTGCACTCGCACGCACGTTGGACATACAAGTATTGACGTATGTTGCGTGCCCGAAGCTAGGATCAATGATTGCAATGAGGTTGTTGAATTAACTGCACCAGGTTTGTCCTCCGCTATAGGTTGCACGCATCCGAAGACGCTGATGCAGCACTCACGGGTCATCATCATCATCATTATTATACACGTTAGCTGCAGGTGGAAAACACCTCAGCTATTGTGCCGCAATACAAACGACGAGAAAAAGAAAAACACGACAGAGGCACGCCGGTGAGTCTTTAGTAACAGATAGGCGTCGTTCCGTAGAACTAACAGCCGGTTATCGTGCTGCAAAAAATTTATTATACCTAACGAATGAGATCGTGATTGGAGGGGGATGCTAAGCAGGAGGGGGATGGAAAAAGGAACTCACAACACAAATGTCAATTGGGCCGACTCCTAGCCATATCAGCAAGTGTCCAACCAAACGTGTTCACCGTCCCTAGAGCCCCAGCCAGGCAGTCGTGATGCACCAACCGACGCCAACTTCGAAGTGAGGGTTTTCATCTCTCTTGACCAATTCATCACTTGGCCTCCCCTCCTCCTCTTCCAACCGCACCCACAACGCGCAAACAATGCACGTCGCGGAAGTCGGTGTGCTGGCATGCGCAACACGTGGCCTAACCATCGGAGCCTGGTGCGTGATATAATGGTGCTGAGCGGTTCATTTGCTCTTCATGCACCAAATACGCGACGCCGAACACGCTCATTGCTCACGCTGTGCTCTCACCAGACATGAGCTAAGTTGCGAAGGCAGCGATGATCGAATATGACGTGCCTCTATGTCTGTCGACCTGATGGGCCAGGTTTCACAACCATATAGGAGAGTTGAACGGACAGCTGCTTTATAAACTCTGCCCTTCAGGACAAGAGTAATATTGCGTCTGCGCCACAGGTGGCGGAGGTTGGCAAAAGCATCTCGAGCTTTTACTATACGGTTCGTAATCTCATCTTCAATCCCACGGGTGGTAATATAGCTGCCCAGTTACTTGAATTCTTGAACGACTTCTAGCAGATCACCACAAAGCGTTATCGCAGGGTTGGGTCCCTGCCAATCTTGGAGAAGTATTTTGCATTTCGATAGAGCAAAGCATAGCCCAAAACGACTGACAGCCAGTACTAATCGGTCTCAGCTCAAAGAGTGAGCCATCGTTGGTTAATTGGATTACGGTGAAAGGGCCGTTTGTGTGCAGCCCATCTGACGACCTCAACTAAGCTCGATTCATGAAATAGTACAAAACGCTGTTTGTTTGTGGTTTTCGATTATGTTCTTACCGACTGCAGTTCGAATGATATTAAGGACACACGATATCACGAACTGAACGTGCTACTACGCAGTGCTACTAGTTCAGATATTATAGCACTTGCAGGGGATATGAACGTACAAGTAGGGCGGCTGAGCTCTTCAGAAGCTCAGCTGGGTGGTAATTATGGGCTTAACTCCGAACGGACTGACAACAGCGAGCGTCTGCTGCAACTGTGTGCAGAACACTTGTTTATGAGCGCCGCTTTTAGACACAGTGGGCGCAGAAGTGCCACTTGGCGTCCTCCTGTAGCTGACCAGTGATGGGCCCAAATGGATCATGTTGCTATAAGTTACAGGTGATGTGAATACATACTGGATTGCCGCTCGTTCTGGAATAACTGCGTCCAATCTGATCATGCCTTGGTACCCTGTCGTTTATCCATGAACCGGGAGGTGCATCAAGCGTCTTAGAACTCAGTCATGCAAGCGCACCAAGACGCACTGAGTACCGAACTTTCGCTGTCATGTCCTGATGACACTGAGCTTCAGCGGAATAGGATCTCAGCGGCCAAGTACCATGCAGGAGCCGCCGTTTGTGGCACTATTAATCGTCACCGCACTAGTGGCGGATTATCCGAGATGTCGGTGAACCTGTTGGAATCCAGAAGAAAACTCCCGGC